GTTGCTCATGCTAACATTAGTTTTCCCAACATTAGTATTAGTATTACTAAAGAACATTAATATTTTATGAATTGAATCAATATATTTCAATGGTTTGAATCTTTCAAACTGATAAGAGTGCTTGTGCATGATATATTGCAGAGCATTAGTTTTACTGGTGTGATGAAGAAAAGGAACTTGACAAAAACTGTGACTATTTTTGTTTATTGTTGGATGAGAACGACCCCTTTGTTGAGGAGTTACAAGCTTACAATGCACTTTCAACCAGGTCCATGTAGTAGCCTATACCTCCTCTGATTCTGTTGAAAAGCGCCAAAAACACACTCCTTCCTACATTTAGCTTCGGCTTTAGCTTCTGAAATGATGCAGTATACACTGTTTTGTGATAAATCTTAAAGAAATGTATCCCTGTCTCTTTACAGGTGTTTCATCAGACACAGTTATTGTTACACAGACTCGTGATGTCTCAGTGATGGAGGGCGACTCAGTAAACATCAGCTGCTGCTGGACAGTGTCGAAGAGAATGAACGTTTCCTGGCTGAAAAATCAAATACAAATTAAATCTGAGCTTATCATCTTGACGGTACCCTCTCAAGGATCTGTGAGAAAGGAGACATCTAACTGCTCAACTTTGACCTTTACAAATATCACAAAAGCCGATTCAGGCAGATACATCTGTCAGGTGATTTTGGAGATTCCAGTTTATACAGTTGCCAGAGGAAACGGTACTGTCATCACCGTTATGAACAGAGAGAAGACAGGTGACACCCCAGCAGGTGGTAAGTGATTAAACAGACACATGAAGTATTGCAGTGACAATGGCTAAGTGACCAACATGGCAATAACCATGTAAATGTACATCCCAGTTGTGTTTGTGACACATGAAGTATTGCAGTGACTAAACCAATGGGACAAAATCAACATGTCACCTTTAATGAGAGGCTGAATAAAACACCTACACTGTATAAGTCTGCACTGTGCTGCTGAGATGTGCCTTAATGTTTTAGCCAAGTACACTGCCCGTATTTCCTGTGATTACTGCTGTGTTCTAATAAATATTCTGGTTTCATGGCAACAAGCATCTTCACCCTAATTCAAAAATATCCAAACATTTCATCAAAGTGAAGGGAACAATTTAAAATGTGGTGAAGCTACATGACAATGAGGAAGGACATGTTCTTCTCTTTAAAAGGCCCATGGCATGCTTTTCCTTGTTTTCTGTCTTATCTATAATGTGAATTATCATCTTAAACATGACCTGAAGCTCAAAAAATGAGGTGTAGCTATGTTCTAGTACTACTATGCAGAAGCAACTCAGTTCATGCACATCTCACAAACTCTCGCTTGCAAGATTTGAATGGTCATAATCTCCAGGCATTTGTTCCTTCATGAGCGAATTTACACAGAAAGACCCCAGGTTGCCCAGGCTCGAACCGTCTCACTGAGGCGATAACACTAACCACCGCGCCCATGACCAGAGGATGTGGAGAAAAGTACAGGGCCAAGCTAATCTACAGGTACCCAAGATTAAACATTGTATGGCTGGGAAAGAGCAAAATGAGCATGTCATGGGGACTTTAACCTTTGCAACAAAACTGCTTCCTCAAAAATATAATATACAGGTTTTAAATTATTTTTTATAATTGCTAAATTAACCCCCCTCCCCAATGAAGATGTGCTCAGAATGCAAACATAATAAGTTCTGTTTTTAATGTAAGAGCAGTAGTTTGTCTTATGTTTCCTAACAGTATTATAGTTGATGGTACAGAGTGTGTAACTGAGCAGTTGCTCCTGTGGATGAATTTCAGGGATGAACGTGTCAATCCATGTCCTGAGGTGTCTGCCCATCATTGTTCTTCTTTTAATTTTCTTCTACCTCAACAACAGGCGGCCCAAGCCTGAGCAGTGCAAACCAGGTACAGTACAATAGTCACATCATTCACAGCAAACTCCACTAATTTGTCTGCTAGTTCAATTCATGACCAAACATCTGTTACATAACTAGTGACATTCCCATCACATTTGCTTTGACTGTGCTTTGTGCTACTTAGCGATTGTTAGCAAGCTAGCACATTAAAATGATGCTGACCAAGGGAAAGTCTACATGCTAAACATGTAAACACTATATCTGATACAGATCAGCATGTTAGCGTTGTCTGTCCCACAGAGCCACTTGTATGGCTGCAGGCTTGTTAAATCGTACACTAGCAGCAGACATGTTACATTATGCTCATCAGTGAGTGTGTTCATATTTCAGCTGCTTCTGGAAATACACTCAGTTCGGTGCAAAGAAGAGAGGAAGCCCAGGAAGAAGAGGAAAGAGACTGAGGGAAACAAGCAAAGGAAAAATGGGGACAGGGGGGGCAAACAATGACTGACCTTGATCTTGATATATTCCCCAAAACCTGGTGTTTCATTATTCATATTTCATATGAACCGATTGGAGGGTATAAGGACTGAGGGTGTGATATGCTGTATAGATTGTAAAGCCCCGTGAGGCATAAATGTGATTTGTGATGTTAGGTTGTACAAATAACATGAATGAATAAAATTACTTGATTTACATTTTTTAAATGTTGCTCTACTGAACATGTTCAGAGGTGTGATGTCAGAACATCTGATATCACCCTGTGACTCTCTTCCTGTCTTATGTTCACTTCAGGAAATAGGATTTAAAACACATGACGAGTGAGAGGCAGTCAAAGAAGACAAAGGAAGGATAGAACAAAAACACTATTTACATTATAAAACTATAAAAACACTATTTACACTATTGCATTGTTGTGTTTACTAAAGGTAAGGGGTGTGAGTCCTTCTTCCACCGCTGTGTAGTTATCTCTATTGTGTCATCAGAGCCATTTTGAAACAAAGCAGTCTGTAGAGGGTTATGATCACAAGAGCGTACATAAAGACAGAGTCAAGATGAGTCAAAGATTTGGGTTTCCACTTCCTGGAAAGATCACATTTTGTCATGTCACTAAGCTTCTTCTTACAACCTACATATGGTGAGATGTTGGGACGGAGCATGGGAACTACAGTCTAGTAGGGGTGATGTTGTTGGCTGCAGATACTCCTGTAAACGAAACATGTCCACAACAGTGGCAATTTCAAATTTCTTCCTGTTTGAATCACATTTGTTAAAAACTGCAATTCCCAGCTGTTTTAAAAATTACTGAGCCATTTATAAAAGTGTTAAACTGTATATTTGTGAGGTGCTTTTAAAAATCAACAACTTTAGTGGGAACGAATGGGCTTAGGACTGAGTGCCACAGATAAGGAGAAAGTTATTACAGGCTTAACACAAAGTGTATGATGTGTGTCAAAACACCCACAACAATGCATCAACAATTACAAACCAAAAATATGATCAGTGACGACGTTTGCTGCTCTATGTATATTTTGATGGTAATGTTTTTGTACTTTTAGTAAAGTAACACTTTGAATGCAGGACCTTTACTTGTAACAGAATATTTTTACACTGTAGTATTGTTATTCATACATAAATAACCTTCCACTTCTATTCCATGGATTTGAACCCTGCACACGAATGAACAGTGCAGCCCATTTCTCTAAGTACAGGTGAACTACACCACTTTCCACCAGGACTGTCTCAGTTTGCTTTAAACCAGAGACAGAGTCAGGCCAAACAGATGAAGAGCAGGTCTAAACAATGAAACCTTAATGTCAGTTTCAAGATAAATGCTTGAACGAAAACTCTGAAACGTTCACTGCTTCTCTCCTCAGCACCTGCTTTGTTATTTTATCCAGTGTTTAAGATACGAGTAGAAGCAGACTTTGGACGATCGTGAGAATAAAGAAACAGGACTCCAAGGGACACCAACGTCCTGGTGAAGCTGAATCATCTGACAATCTCCTATTATTGTTTTGCACTACTGTGACTGACTGTTCACGGTTTTGAGTCACAGCTTATTAGCTGTACCGTTTAGATTTATCCTAATTATATTAATCCAGTTCTTATTCTATTCTATTCTACCCAATACTAGGTGAGAGAGAAACAGCATTTTGATTTTCTGTATGTCCTGCACATATAGTGAATTGACAATAGAACCTTGAACATTAAACCTTGAACCTAATATCCGAAGGAGGAAGGAACAGAAGCTGTGGTTTTCACACGTCTTTGCAGAACATGTAGAGGAACCTTAAAGAAAAGGTGAGGCCAACCCCATGTCTCTCTTGTGTGCGTGTGTCTGTGTGCGTGTGTGTGTGTGTGTGTGGGGGGGGGGACTGTAAGAATCCCTGTCTCTTTACAGGTGTTTTATTCTGTAATAATTTCTGTGTTCATTTGTAATGTCAGATGATCAGTGTTGTAGGCCTCCGCTGTCGAAACTGGCAGCACATAAACGTACATAGAATGTTAGCTATATCTTGTTTCTCATTATGTTGCTCATGCTAACATTAGTTTTCCCAACATTAGTATTAGTATTACTAAAGAACATTAATATTTTATGAATTGAATCAATATATTTCAATGGTTTGAATCTTTCAAACTGATAAAAGTGCTTGTGCATGATATATTGCAGAGCATTAGTTTTACTGGTGTGATGAAGACAAGGAACTTGACAAAAACTGTGACTATTTTTGTTTATTGTTGGATGAGAACGACCCCTTTGTTGAGGAGTTACATCCTTATGATGCACTTTCAACCAGGTCCATGTAGTAGCCTATACCTCCTCTGATTCTGTTGAAAAGCGCCAAAAACACACTCCTTCCTACATTTAGCTTCGGCTTTAGCTTCTGAAATGATGCAGTGTACACTGAGAAATGTATCCCTGTCTCTTTACAGGTGCTTTATCAGACACAGTTATTGTGACTCAGACTCATGATGTCTCAGTGATGGAGGGCGACTCAGTAAACATCAACTGCTGCTGGACAGTGTCGGGGAGAATGAACGTTTCCTGGCTGAAAAATCAAACACAAATTAAAACTGAGCTTATCTTCATGATACCCTCTCAAGGAGCTGTGAGAGCTCAACTTTGACCTTTACAAATATCAGAAAAGCCGATTCAGGCAGATACATCTGTCAGGTGATTGCGGAGATTCCAGTTTATACAGATGTCAGAGGAAACGGTACTGTCATCACCGTTATGAACAGAGAGAAGACAGGTGACACCCCAGCAGGTGGTAAGTGATTAAACAGACACATGAAGTATTGCAGTGACAATGGCTAAGTGACCAACATGGCAATAACCATGTAAATGTACATCCCAGTTGTGTTTGTGTTTTATTCTCCCAACATGCTGATGGATCTCCAGGTTTTCTTCTCTTCATGATAATTGCTGTGGCTTTAGTGGTTTCATTACTCCTCATCACTCTCGTATGTTACTGCACTCTACGAAGGAAACGAGGTACAAAAAGAAAAATGTGGTTATTATTCAGGTATCAGAAACACACTGTCCCAGAAGATTGGCTGGTGGGTTCACTTAAAGTATGAAAACAACACGATGTCCTTCCTCTAGTGGTATCAAACAGCCATCCGCTCCACACAAACATAATGAAGTGAATAGAATTTTGCATTTCACACAGCGAGGAACAATGACATTTAAAAAAAATCAGCAGCAACATCTTATTCCAGGAACATTATGTCAGTAATTGAGGATAATCCACAGAACATAATGTCAAATGTTTTGATACTTGATAAGTTGGTAGAAAAATGTTCATAGCCAGGTCTGTGAATTACAGCATTCAGAGTAAAAGGATGTTGTTTCCAGAAAAAGATGTTGCATTTGCTCTTAAAATATATTTAATTCAAATACATGCAATAAATATAATTCATACAGTTCAGCCTAATCCAGGGCATCAGGTATGCAATGAATTTTATTTTTAGGAAGAGTATAATGTGGATGCTGTCAGAGAGGCATTAATTCAATTATATCAACACCACAGCAAACTCCAACTCAGTAGTAATCATACAGTAAGATTATTAGCTCTTTGACAGCCGTAGCGTATCTTTCAAAACTTATCAATATTAAAAGTAAAATGGATCATTTAATTCTACTTTTAGAAAGATAATATTGTTTTAGATTGTGTTAGATTTTATGGGTGTACCTAAAAATGTGGCCAATAAGTGCTTTTCGAAAAGAAATATAAAAAAGCTTAGCGAAGGTTTTTACTGGGGCGGGAAATGATATTAAATCTTTCAAACTTAGGATTTATTCAGGAGTTCACAAAAATATGACTGGAAGTTTGATAGATTCTATCCATCGCTTAAAACTGTACAGATTAATAGCAAAAAAAATAAAAATAAACTAGTAGCAAGAACAATTAGTCATACAGATTTACAAGAAGAGAACATTTAGATGACACAGTTAATACAAGATGAGATCATGATCATAAGAGTATTTTAAGCTAAACAAGAGGCATTTCAGCAGCTTTTTCAGTTCTCTGTCGCATACGTGCATGATGGGACAGATACACTTCCCTTTTAATCAAGCTGCCTGTCTACAGAGGCCTCATCATGACTTGTAAATATGAACTTATAAATACTAAACATTATTGTTCTTTAAACGTCACAGCACTGACATTTTATCACCTTATATGATTAATATGACCAGTATGTTAGCAAATAGTTGTCTGGTCACATGTAACAGGCAAAAAAACATCATTAGTATTCATTTGGTCAAGCTTCCGAATGTATGATCAGTATTCTCGCTTCTTTTAACTCTGCTTTGGGATGCAATACTAACTATTGTTTCTGTTAGATGATCTTTATATTGTTGACTGACTACTGCTACATACTGTAACATGTTGACAGTGTACCTGCACACATGGCAGACAACTATCAGAAAGTGTTTATGTGCCACAGTGTCCCAGTTCTATCAGAGTACTCCTACAGTACTCCTTCTGTGGGAGTTTGATGCTGCATGGTAAACAGACAGCTGATGCTTCAAAAAGCCACGTGTGTAAAGTATATCAAAGCACGACAAATCTGCAAAGACAATTCTAAGGCATCTCCAGCTGATGCTTCAAAAAGCCACTTGTGTGTAAAGTATATCAAAGCACGACGAATCTGCAAAGACAATTCTAAGGCATCTTTATGCAGTTGGTGTCACTGGGCTTTAGCACAATATATGAGGGGGTATCATTTGAGTGAGAAATCTATGGGACCCTCAGTTGAATCTTGTGGTACACAGCAAAATTATGAGGAACTGCTTGTTTCAAATAGACTAGCTCTACAGTATGTTTACAATATTAGCCATGTTTATGTGGCTGAAGGTGAGAAAAGTGATTCAGTAGAAACAGTATCGCTCTCTCATTCTCTGCTATCAGTGCAGTAAAGCTGTGACCTTAAGCTGTGTATAAGCTCAATGTCCCCACAACCGTAGCAAGGGATAAGCTGGAATAATCAATGGAAAATAGGATGTAGTAGAAGATCTTTAGTAGTATTAGCAATACGAGGACTAGTAAAAGAAGTAAACAGTACAAACAGACAAGCAGTACCCACCTACTGTAGGTTTACATAAAATGTAAGGCTTCTGATTCTGTGTGTTTTAATTTCATTTTGTGTAACAGTACTATAATCATTTGTGTGTGTGTGTGTGTGTGTGTGTTCAGCACAAGCAGTCAGGGTGATCTATGAGGTCCCCCACACTGACTCTGTGGAAGCAGAGACGGACAAACACAGCACCAGCTCCTCGAGAGGCTCTACTCAGTGGGTGAGACTAATGGTGTTAAGTCTGCGGCGACACTCATGCACAGATGTTGTGTGTAGAGTAACTGCTGACTGTTATGTTTTACTGTCATATCTCCCGACAGGCAGGATCTTCGTCCCTCTTTGTTCAGTGTAGTTAAAGATATAATACAAACTACAAAATATCATGTAATACTGAATAACATAACTTGCCCTCTTGGCCTTGCGTTATGGTCTTTGATCCAATTTTAGTGGGTACATTGTTAGGTCATTTAAGTCTCTAACCCTATCAGATTCACCCTCAGTGAAGAATAGCTTTTGATGAAGGTGATTACTATATGTTTTAGCTGACATTTGAGAAAAAGTGGACGATAGATGTGGTCGATGGGGTGAAGCATGTTTGCGTAGACCTGCTCTCTCTAAAGGCACAACCAAACCAAGTGTGATTTTTCAGGTTTCCTGTGAAAAACATTTCATTTCAACAAGACATTGAATCATCAGTCACATACGACGTTCAGCCCTATACGTTACAATAAACTTTGGTGTTTTCCATTCTCAAATAATGAATGTCCAAAATATGTGTAGCGCTCGTAGGATGTACGATGTAATTCATGGTCCTATACAATAAAGTGAAACAGATGCAGGTGAAATGGATTCTGAATTTAAATGTTTCGTTTCTGTTGAATCTACTGCTTTAGGTGTTAACATATTTACTCACTAATATATGTTTCATTTACATATATATAAAACAGCCCGTCAAATAACTGGCTTGATACGCTGTGGGAGCTGTTGTACTGGACTGTGCTGCAGTGTAAAACAATTCGTGGTCCAAAGATTCATCTGCACTAAAAGCTGTAACTTCCGGTGTTGAGACATTAGTATAAAATATAACTGACATCCTGTTTCTGGCTAATTGTGTGTCAATGCCTACTCAGTTTTAGATTGTAGCAAAGGTCTTCTAACTTTAGAGCAGCCCAACCCCTTAGGTTTTATTAATAATAGCCTTATTTAACATCTGTACATACTGCTATATTACACTGATACACAGTGTGTGCTTGCACTAATGTTTTGAAATCTCTGTCTCTTTTAGTGTCAGGTACCAGTGTACGAATCCTTCAATTACTTTCAGCATGGAGACCCTGAAAAGTGAATGGGGACCTGCTCGAACATTTCTTCATCTTCTAGTATTTTCTAATTGTAATTTTCCTCATGTATATAGTGTACATTCTTTTACTTACATTAACCTGAATCATATAAAACTTTTGAATGCATGATTTAAAAAAAAAAATTGTATAAAATGTTTGATTAGTCTTTGTGGTCTAACTTCATTTCACTGATTACAAGGTGCATGTTTTTTATAGACAGCCTTGTAAAAGAAAAGTAAAAGAAAGTAGGAGATTTTGTTTTGACTGCATCGTAGGCTACGATCAGCTTGTCACCAGTCCACATTAGTTCACAGCACAAATCTACAGAGATGCAGGTTTCACATTGACGTCAGCTCACAGTGAGGATGCAGAGTGGAAACTGTGTTATTACTGGGTCGTTGCATAATAGGTCAATGACAGGAAGTGGAAACAACGCCTGTGATGGTCTTAGAGGTTTCTCCCCGGCCTTGCCGTGTGCATATTCATCACACAAAGCCACAAAGACTAATAAAAAATGTCAAAAATGATAAAGACTCGCTCTTCTGTGATTTGTGCTGACACCATGTTTTACTGTCATTATTTTCACATTATTCATCTCACAGTATACGTGCTCAGCATCTCAGGCTGTGTGCTCACTTTCCAAAATGTTGGTAAAACACCTTTAGCATTACTGAAAGCAGAATTCAACTCACTTACTCATACTGTACTAGCAATCAACTACAACATGCTTAGAAAATGCTTATTGCCCATTAACATTGTTGAACACACACAAGAAAAGGCGGTATAGTTAAAAACAAGGCAGTTATACTTTGTCTCACCTAAATAGCATTGTTTATTCAAGGTAGGTCATCCTAAAACAGCAATGAAGCAATGATGTTTGCCTATTGATTGCTAATCTTAATACAAAGACACTTGACCCAGTGAGTCAGCTACTTCATACAAACCCAAGGAATCATAAAGGGGTTAAAGGCTGCCGATTTAAAAAAAACAAACTCATGGGAACAAACACATTTACAGTATGCTAGCTTTTACCTGCGTACCATCTGCACCCATCTGCAAAAGGTGTTAACCACCACCACCTTTCAGTACACGTGCAGCTTTCACATAATTTCACACAGTTCCACTTGCACATATTCATGTTCAACACATCAGTGGGTTTACATGTGCACATGAGTTTGATCTTTGAAATCATAAAATGACTTACATGCTCAAGCCTGTTGAATGGTGGCACAAATTGTTAAGTGGCCCTTCATACTTATAGTTTTAATAGTTTTAATAGTTTTAACCACGCCCAGCTTTTTAAATGGAATATGTTGTAGATACAGAAATGTGGTTAGTTTTAATAGTTTTAACCACACCCAGCTTTTTAAACGGAATATGTTGTAGATACAGAAATGTGGGATTTTTATAATGCTTCTTTCTCACTGTGTTTGACTACTGCAGTAAGAGCAGTGCTGCAACTAAGCTACTGGCTGCATGACCAGAGAAATGCTGTCATGCAACTGATCTGACATATCTGGTAATAGAGCATTGTTTCCAAGAAACCAGGCCAGGCTACCAGAGAGAAGACAGACATGTGAGCAGACTCTGATTTACTTTTACACAGTTCAAGTTTTACATATCTTTCCTCTTAAGATTCATGTCCATCCCTGCACAGCAGCATGGACAACCACCAACACCACACTAGGTGCAGTGACAGTGGGGTTACAGAGAATGTGTTTCAGTTTCATCAAGTCACCGCAGGGTTAGTACAGTAGAATTTATTTCCCCTCAACCAGGTGGAAATTTTTATGCTCAAAGGTTGCTCTTCTGATATGCTTTCCCTAAAGTTCACTATAGCAGAAATAGCCGAGAGAGGACTATGAACAACAGGAGTAATTCTTGAGACAGAAGGGAGACGCCTCTCCAGTTTTTTCTCCTTTAGAGAAGAAAATGAGCAGTACTAAAGCAACCATGGAGCAATATGTGACTCCATACATACTATATATAGTCTATATTTATACTGTATATTATTGTGAGCACTGGGCTGGTAGGAAGTTATGACAGCAGTTTTTGACAGCATCTTTTTATTTTGCCAGAGCCACAGGAAGCACCATGCAACCAGGAGAATAACATAATAATGCAACAGGAGGGCAGGACATGAATTGCAACAGAAGCTAGACTTAGAGCGGCAGGTAAAAACAACTATAAATGGGAAAACAGGTAATGAAAGAGACAGGAGCATTAGGCCATAATCTCATTTTTGTTGTCTAGGAGAAATAAATGAAATATGTTTTAGATTTCTTTTCTAATTTTCTTCTCCATTGTGAAATTAAACAACTTATAGAATCAACTCCTTTTGCTGTTTGCTTAATGAAAAGACCTCGCCTTAAATCTGTACAGCCTGCATGGGCAGTGATGTGTACAGTGGGTGTTGTAGGGATCAGGCTGTGTTGGCACAGTTGGAGCCACCACCCTTGTCAAACACTTAGAGCAATATTATCCAACGTTTTAAAACACACAGCTTATCACCTTTTCCAAACCCATTTTTCCAAAGGTATAAAAGGAGTGGCCTCTCTTCTTCCACTCCTCACACATCCACTGCTCTGGGGACTCATACAGGCCTTTGATTAACCTCTTTACCGTACTATCCACCTCACAAGCAGCAACAATGACCCAGTTAGAGACAGCCATGGCCATCCTGATGAAGACCTTTGATACATACGCTGGTGCCGAGGGAAAGACTGACACCCTAACCAAAGCAGAGGCTAAGACTTTGCTGGAGAAGGAGCTGCCTGGACTGCTCAAGGTAACGTCCACACCTGGGGAGGGATATCTGCACTGATCAGAACAACACTGATGTCTGCTCACTGAGGCTCAGCCACACTGATAAAAATATGTATTCACTAGTCTGCATAGTACAAACTCAGCGTTAAATGGTGTACAAATAATGTAAAAGAATATTTATTCTATCTAATTTGACCCATTATAATACTCATATTACCACTTACAACAGGTGTTTTCATTTTGGGTTGTTATGTCAAACCTTTATTTCCTTCATGGGCTAGAAATGATTCTTGTTAGTAAATCTGATTGTTGCAAATGTAAATGCATTTTCTATGCTGATACTGTCAATCTTTGATAACAGTTAGCTAAATGTGACTGGAAAGAGAGATTTGCTGATGTTATGTAGTGTCCAAACAGCATCCATCAGTGTTGATGGGTTTTTTTTTTGTCTGTACAGCTAGCAAAGAACAAAGATGAGGTGGACAAGCTGCTGCAAGGTCTGGATTTTAATGGAGACTCTGAGGTTGACTTCAGTGAGTTTGTGGTGATGGTAGCCGCCCTCACCTGCGCCTGCCATGACCGCTGTCTTAAGAAGTGAGCACGACGACCGCACCCTTGGGCGGGAGCCAGACGGCACCAGGAACAGCATAAATCTCTCCAGTAACTGGTTTTTGTAATGGCTGAATAAATGATTTATCTACCTGTGCATGGTTGTCAGGTGTTGTGTGTGACAGTGAATCACAGCAGTAAGAAGGTACTAAAGTACAAGTGTAGAACATATTGCTGCTATAAATGGCAAGACATGCTCTACTTTGGAAGGACGTGATGAAACTCAATCAAACTCTGCTGCATAATGTATCTAATGTTTTTAGCAACCTTGAATTGACTGTTTTCATTTTCTTAAAATGCAATGCCTTTAAACCTTTGGAGAGGTTTGTGCAAAATGGTGAATATACATACACATGTACAATATAAAAAGAGAAAAATATTAAAAGGTGCAAACATACAACTAAATACACTGAATATAACTGTGGAAGCAAAACAACTAAATACGTGTATTTGTGTGGTGGAAGAAGCACAACACAAAGGGTGACATTTACCGTAGGAGAGGCATTGCAGTTAGTGGTCAGATGACTTTACAAAACCCCTAGACTTCCTGTCTAACTAGGTGACATGCATGTGGAGCTCCACATACATCTTGTTCTCTCTTGCCAAGTGAGAGACAAGCTTTTGACATTTTTTACTGCACCTGAAGGATTAAATGACATGCCTATTAGTTGAAAAGGTACTAGCAAGCCTCAGTGCGATGATTCCATGCTATAAACAAAAAAAAGATGACATGTACGTACAAGGGTTTCAATACAGAGCTGAGCATAACACTACCATTGTATCTCTGATGCTCAGTGATCATCTCACTGCCAAGAGGTGAGAGGAGTGGCTTTTGATGCCATAGTGTCAGCCACATGTAAAATATGTAACTGCTTTACAAACAGCACCTTGCCAACATTTCAGCAGTCATGCACAGGGGCATTTCTAACTTGTGTGGGTGTGTGAATTAGCAACAAGAACAAGAGCAGGATCTTTAAACAGACCACAATGAGCTCAAGTGGTGGATTTACAAAGCAGCTCTGTGCTGTAAAGGAATAACCCACACTTCACCGCTGTGTGAATGTGTGAGTGCTTGGGAGTGCAAATGGGTGAATGGTCAAATAGTGTGAACGTGCCTTGAGTGTGTTGCAATGCATGGAAAATGCACACAGCGAACTCGGCTCCAAACATAATTTCATTGTAGGTGTTACAATGTTACAATGAAAATAAAGCTTCTTCTTCTACACTACGTCTGAGTGGAGCGGATATCCCACCAGTGTTGTATTTACAGGTGATTACTCTGACGTGCCAAGAATCACAAAAATAGCAGTGGGGTTTGGAGTTTGTGCCACAAAAATAGCAGTGGGGTTTGGAGTTTCTGACAGTGGAGGGGAAAAATTTAGAGCAGCAAGTTTGTTAATCCTCTCATTAGAGGCATCACACTGTCTCGTAATCCTCCTCTGTGATAGCTGCTGTGTCTAGGTCAGGTCATCTCTCTGTCAGCCTACCAGAGCGCTCTGACCAAGTAACACACTTCCTGCAGCTAGGATGATTGTGTAATTACAGAAAGCCTATGCTGCCCACTAGTGGCAGATACATTGTCCTGTTCAACAATCAGAGGAAGAGCTATTTCTGGAAGGCAACTAGACAATGTACAGCAGTGATACATCATCATCATCACTAGCAGGATAATTGCTTCTGCCAAATACATGACCTGTCTTTTCTGTTTGCCTGTGCTTGATCTGACAGTGCAGGCTGAGTCTGGGACCTCATGGAGCTGTCTGTGATACATGGCGGGCCTGTAATTTTGCAAGGTCATTAAGCTGAAACTCTCCTCTCTACCTCCTCCCTTGCCTTCTCTCTCTCTCCCTCTCTGCCTGGGGCATTATACAAGCTTATAGGGATTAGGTGTCCAGAGTGGAGGACAATGTGGGTCTGGAGTCAGGAGATGCAGGTGGGATGAGTGAGTTTACTGTATATGGTGGAGCAGTACTGAAGTGTATTTATATTATCATATGCCCTTTCACTTTTATTAGTAATAAAACCGTTCTCAGTCACTCATCCACAGGAAAAAACCTGACAGGACAGAAGTCTGATCATCTTCATTCAGGCTCGTTTGCTTATCCTTGTTCATTCTTATGTTTTTTATTCAAAATTTTGATTTATATTTTTCTTGATTTTTTTTTAACTGACTTGAATTTTAAGATCCCTAAAAGGTGAACTGAATGCAAGTAACTTGGAAACTGGTGGGTTTTAAAATTTCAACATCGTCATCATTAGTAGAGTTTAAGTAACCTGGAAATTGGTGGGTTTTAAATTTTCAACATCGTCATCATTAGTAGAGTTTATATGATTGAAATCAGTGTGGAAATTTTTGTTTCCATATAAACATTAGTAAATAGTTTATTAAGCATGAATACAGTTAAAACCCCTTATTAAGTGTACTTTATTAGAAAGTATCAATATATTTGATTATACATGCATTCATACTATTAATCAGTGAAATTCCTTTTACTTTCTTTTTGCTGTATTTTAAACACAAAGCCTCATACATTCCATATAGTATTACTATACTGTTTGAAGCTAGTTTCAGTACTGAGAACTATTGATACGGTGAATGAGTAAGTCTCATAAATAAACAGTCATCACCCAAAAGAAGGGAGGCGGAGGTGGGGGCATTCATTACACAATTATAAAAAACAAAACAAAACAAGGTTTCCCGTTACTAGTGTCCAATTTTGGAGTTTCCCATAGGCCTCAATCTCAAACCATGTGTCAGTGCAGGATACTTGTGCCCAGAAGTTCAGAGCAAACACACACACACACACACACACACACACACACACACACACACACACACACACACACCACTTAGTTTGGTCCACGTGATAAGGTGGTAATGAATACCTTGTTCTGTTTTGTAGCCACACATCTCTGGTCATATGAGCTGCCAGGGTGCCCAGCTCATCTTTCAGCAAGACAAACGAGACAAATACACTGCTGCTCTCTCTGTCTAAAGCTCCTCCAAGTATGTTTTCTTGTCTGGGTAGGTATCATGGGGCATCACAGGGACTGCAATATGTCTGGTACTACTGAAAGGCTACTTTACACATGACTGAATATTGATTATGTGAACTTTTAACTTGTGATGTTGTGTCAATGTAGACGTAATTAAAAAGATGGATAAAATATAGCGTCCAGATTGTGATCGTAAACAAGAAACCACAAAAGAGTGTGACACACAGTATAGATACCGGCTTTCATCAAACTCGATTTGACAGTTCTAGGTGAAAGGTTATCCAATCAGAAGCTTTGTCCCGCCCCCAAGTCGTTTGTAATGTTATATAGTGAATAAAACAAATGGTACATAGAAAGTATAGTAGTGATTTGTATATTAAATAGAGTTGACCAGATATTTAGTTTCAAAAGAGGACACGACAGGTGTCCTTGAGTTAGGTTTGAGTAATTGTAGAGGTGCGAAACAGCTATTTAAAAAAGACACAGCCGTTATTATGTAGTGTGAGATGAATAAAACAAAAATGGTCATACAGCTAAAACAGAGTAGTGATTTTGCACATTTTGACCCATGGGAAACATGAGACAATGGATGTCTGAGTTATTTATTGGGGGTAATTATTTAGATGGTAAAAACAGAGCCTATACCATATGTTCCTCATCACAGCGCTGTGTTTTTTTGTAAGAGAGGTGCAAAAACAGGGGGTAAAACACTCAGACACAAGTCTTACCCTTAGTCACTCAGGCTCTCCACACTTCGAGATGAATCCAGGTACCCCCTGAAAAGAAAAAAGAGTGATGCAATTTTATTTTTAGGCTTTACGAAAGCATGTATGTTAACCGAGGGCAATATAACATTTTACCAATATGGTGGAGGCATCGGTGGATGTCAGGCAAGTTCACATGAACCCTCAATGGTCTGGAGATTATGCCCATTCAAGGAAATCCTTAAACTCACATAATACTTAATTTTGTTAGAAAAAAAGTCTCATGAGTGAGAGCTTGCGAGATGTGTATAAATTGAGTTGCTTCGGCATAGAAATACTAGAATGTACATACACTTCATTTGTTGAGCTTTAGACCATGTCTAAGATGATAATTCACAATTGTAGATAAGTCAAAAAACAAAGAAAAGCATGCATGAATGTTTTTTTCAACATGGTGCCCGCCAAGGTTTTCTTGCTCCGCTCATGAATGCCGGCTTTTTTTTGTGTGTGTTTTTTGCTTTAGTGCAATGCTAAAATGTCATGCAAGAGGGGAGGGCTCCATGCTAG